AGGCGAAAGGATTACCTGAGCCCAGGGGTGTGAGATCAGTCTGGACACCATGGCAAGACCTTATCTCTACAGTAAGTCAAAAAAATTAGCCTGATGTCATGGCGTGTGCCAGTAGTTGCAGCTACTTGAAAGGCTGAGGCAGAAGGAGCACCTGAGCCTAGCAGGTTGAGACTGTGGTAGCCGTGATGGTACCACTGCACTTCAGCTTGGGTGACAAGAGTGAGACGATTCAAAAAGAAAAAGAAAAAAAGGCAGTTAGAGCTGAATGCTTGTATACTGAATTGGACAAAGTGACAAGGCATTTTCCTCAATGACTTGTGGAAAAGTCACCAGGAAGAAAAGCATTACTTTGGGAAGATTTGTTTGTACAGATTTTTCTCTGCCTCACCTCCCCATCAGTGGTGGTAAGACTATTTCCTTCTGTTACAGTGAGGACATCTTCTATAGCGAGGTTTCATCTCCTGCTTTCAGCAAGAGAGGGAGAAGGTCAGAGCACCTGCTGTTTTTCAAGTGCCTTTGTATCAAAATAATACTTATGCCAAAGTGTCATATTTGGGAAGGACATATTCTGCTACCCTTCATATGCCATCAGTTAAACATCATATGAGAAACCAGGCTCAGTGGCTTAGCCTGTAATCCCGCGCCTTTGGGAGGCTGAGGTGAGTGGATTGCCTGAGCCCACGGGTTCGAGACCCACCTGGGCAGGCGAGACCTCATCTCTACAATAAAATCAAAAAATTAGCCGGGCGTGGTAGCAAGCGCCTGTAATTCCGGCTACTCGGAAGGCTGAGGCGGAAGGATTGCCGGAGCCCAGCAGGTCGAGGCTGCGGTGGCCAGGAGCGGCCACTGCACTCCAGTCTGGGCGAAAGAGTGAGACTCCAACTCAAAAAAAAAAAAAACAAAAAACAAAACATCATATGAGAGAGTTGCTAACTTTCATGGTCATTTTAAAGCAATAATAGTAAGTAGTCTCCTATTTTGTACCCAGAGCAGATGTTGCTAATTGATTGTTGTGCTGCTTTTTCTGTCTAAACCTGAACAAGCTCAAATTCTTCCTCCTTTTTGAGACAGGATCTCACTCTGTTGCCCAAGTCACTAAAACTAAAAGCATGCACCATCATGCCCAACTAATTTCAAATATATATATTTTGTAGAGACAAGATCTTACTGTGTTGCCCAGACTGGTCTTGAATTCCTGTGCTCCCATCTCAGCCTCCCAAAGTGCTAGGATTGCAGGTGTGAGCCACCATACCCAGTCTTCAAATTGATCAGAATTTGCATTAGTCATCTCTTAGCCTTTGACAGATACTATACAGGCACAGTCAGTTGGGCTTTGTCAATGATTTTATAAAAGGGAGTAGTGTTGAGAGAGAGAGGGGTGTTCATCATCTGATTAAACGTGAGAAAAAGGAGCATGTCCACCTAGGACACTGTGTGGTACATAGCTAGTGTTCAATATACATTTGATGAATCAATGATTCTGAGATGAATGATGTTATCACTAATGGAAATGGAGAACACAGGTGGAGGAGAATCTGGTTTGCACAGAAAAGTAGTAAATTGAGTTTAATAAGCTGGAGTTACTGATAGGATGGACGCCCAGGAGATGTCCAGAGAGCATTTGTAAAGTTGATCTCCATCCTGTAAAAGAAAAATCAGAAGTGGGGAAAGGGAAAGGGAGACTGAGATTGATTTGGGCACCAAGGTTTATTTCTAGAGGTGGTAGCTGAAGGCTTTGGTGCATACTGAAATTGACGAGGGGGGAAATGGATAAAGTGAAGACAGGACTCCATGGTACTCATTCCTGGAGAACATCTCAGTGAGAAGGGAAAAGATGAATCCTTAGAGATGTGAAGGCCGACTACAGTTGGGTTGGATTCCCAGAAGCTGAGAAATGTGGCCATAGAGGAACATTTCATTTCAATAATAAGTATCAATTCCTTGGTTGCTCCTGCCTCTGCAGTTGTTTCCTTTGAATACAAAGTATTAAAATAAAACAGAAAATCTTGGTTTTTAATTGGTATTGGATTTTTAGCATCATATATATAGTATACAAGATATATTTCCCTTTTAATTCTGCGTTAGACATACCTAGGTTACTGTTGAGCTTTGGGAGTGGAAAGAATCATTTTTATTCATCAGTTAGCTCTTTTGAGCAAAGTATGTATTATTTTTGTTATTTTATCAATGATTAAGATAAGGACAGAATTTTCCTCTAAAACAGCACTTTAACCATTCATGTACCATCTTGAGATTTTTGTCATATCCATGTACCATTTGTCCTCTTTTATTTAAAATGCATATGTATATATTTATGATTTACTGTGCATTGAATTATCTCCTGTGCTAAATTAGATGCCTTCTCTGTGCTTCTAAAATACCTATGTAGGGACCCTCTTGGGTGCCCTCCTGCTCTGGGACGTTTTCTATCCACTCAGTATATCCTGCTTTCAAAAAAAATAATAATAATGATAAAAATACCTGTGTACCCAATGCCCACCTTTATCAATGTCACTGAAGTGTCTTTCCGCTCGTATATGATCTCCTTGATGACACGTTAGATAATATATGTATTTCGCAAATTTGCCAAATAGTCACTATAAATATGGTTGTGATCAAAATATTCCTTATCCTCAGAAACTCTTGCCTTGTGGAGGATACAGCTTTGAATCTATAATATATTTAATATTTTATTGTTGCTTTGTTATTATTTAATCCTACCTGTTACTAATTACATAACAAATTATTGTATGAAACAGCTTAAGAGATGGGCATAACTCGGAATGGGAAAGGTGGTGTAGCCATTTCTGAGAAACTGACTGATGTATCATTTTATTTGAGTCTTTCAAGCATTTGGCACATAATAAATAAGGAATGTTCAGTGAGTAAAACTAGGTAGATGGAGGAGTTATTTCATAACAACTCTGGCACACAAAATTAGAAAGAATATATTCACTTCCTTCTTCCAGTATTCTAGTTAAGAAAGTTGAAATTACTTCCAGTGTTAAAAGGATTTTTTGTTTTAGTTTTTAGGTTGTTTTGGTTTTTTTTTTTTTTTTTGAGAGAGAGATTTTCCTGTTTTATTGCTTTAGTATATACTTATTCTCCACAGGAGTTTTTCCCTTAAAATGCACAAATATTTCACTTATATAAGCCCTTTGTTCCCAATTAATACTACACTAATCATATCTTGGAAAATATCATTTTCACAAAAAGAAGCATGTCATATTTTCATGGAGATTGTCTTCTTTTTTGTATTGAAAGAGAATTAAGTGAATTAATTGCTCCACTTGTAGCTCATTGTGATATGTTTTTTCCTTCCTTGTAACAAATTGATAACTGGCACTAAAATAATGAAATCTAGGCCAGTGAGCATCAGGCAACTGTCAACTAGCTGAGTTTATAAAAGAGATGAGATAACCGAAAACCGGGGTAACCAGCTGGGGGAAAATGGGGCATGTAATTAGGAGACATGATTTCTTACCCTTCTTCCAGAAAGTGAGAAGAGAATTTAAAGAAGAGAGATGGCGATGATTATATTTGATCTGTCAAAACTAGTCAGAGAAAAATACATATATGTTATAATCTTTTACCCTGAATGTTAATCTTAGAGAAAAGTGACATTGGTTTTCAAAAGTGGAGTGATTTCTGTACTGATCACACATATCATATTATATTTTATCATCTACAGGTTGTTAGGGAATTTCTATAGAGTTTAGTATTTCATGAAGTGATGTGTTCCTCTTGTATTAATTGAATGAAGGACTTATTAGGTAAGCAGATGATTTGTGGTATAATGATGCAAGCCAGCTCTCTTGATCCGTTCTGTGTTGCTATGAAGGAATACCTGAAGCTGGGTAATTCATAAAGAAAAGAGGTTTATTTGGCTCACAGCTCTGTAGGCTATACTAGAAGCATGGCACCAGCATCTGCTCTGCTTCTGTTGAGGGTCTCATGCAGCTTCTACTCACGGTGGAAGACTTAGGGCAGAGATCACAGGGTGAGAGGAAAAAGCAAGAGAGAGATTGGAAAGAGAGATTTCTCTTTTTTTACAATCAGCTTTTGTGGGAACTAATAAAATGAGAGCATATTCACTATTGCAAGACTGACACCAGGTCTGCCTGTGACCCATGACCTCCTAATTTAGGCCCCACCTCCAACACTGGGGATCAAATTTCAACATGTGTTAGAGAGGGGAGAAGTATCCAAACCCATTGCACCAACTATATAATGTAGCAGACAGTAAAAATAGAACTGCTATATCCCTCCACTCCCTTTTGCTGGATGTATAATGAAGACAGTGCAGATCACGGAAGGAGCAAGAGTCTGGGTACCAGTCATAAAATCAGGTTCACCTTGTTACCCCAGACTAATCACGTAACCTCTCTGAGCCTTCAAAGACACTAGAGGAGAATAATGGTGCCTACCTACCTAGAGGATTGTAAAGTATACAATTTCATCTAGGATCACATTCAATAAAGTGGTTTTGTTAAAAGGGACAATGCTACATCAATACAACATTATACTATTGTTGTCTGTTGTTTTGTTGGCTTTCATGTTGTTTAACTTAGTAGCTCTGGATTCTGGTATATTGTTATCACTCTATTAATAGAAAATCTGTTTTGTAGCTGACAGTGTGTCTCTCAAATTTATTTTCAAATTTAGCACCTCCTTTTCCCTGTTTGGGTGAATAACAGCTATGTTGTCTATAATAGGACTTGGAATTCTGCAGTCTTATGTAGATTCCTAGATGTTTAATAATGCCATATTCAATGAACTAAAATGAAAAGAAGTACTTTAATTTGGAGATGTTGTTTCCACAAGACCTGGAACAAATGTCCAAGATGAACAAAAGTCCTTTGGTTGTGATTTAGTTCAAAATTTGATAGACCTCCCCTCCCCTTTGCAATTACAGTTTGATCATACTGAAGGACACCGGAGTTTTTATTGTTAAAGAACAAAATATCAGTGAAATACTGAATTCTATTCTTTTTCTACAGTGCCTCCAAAGCCATTACACCTGCAGAATTCACCTTCGTCCAATATACACCAAACCCCCAGGCATAAAGCTTTACCTAGTGCAAAACCAAGGATGGAGGAAGTTAAACCTGCCTCTGCTTCTTGTGTCTCAAAAGAAAAACCCAGTAAGGTATCAGATCTCATCAGTCGCTTTGAAGGAGGCAGGTAAGAGTTCATTTACAGTGGGAGAAGGCGAGGGGAGGAAGAAAGCTGACTTTTGACAAAAATGATAGTCACAGATTTTCTAAATCAGAAACATAGTATCTTATTAGGCTTGGTAGACCTTTAGAAAGGATGAATTTTTCAAATAAATGGCTTAATCTTACCCTAGAATGATCTGTCACTTACTACGTATTGCCTGTGTCCAGTGCTGTTGGCTGCTAGCTGTTGAGTCCAATCGTGTGTTTGTGTGTCTGTGCTCTCTCTCGCTTCCTCTCAATTTGTATGTGTCAGTCTCTGTGTGTTACTCCTTGTGAATCATTCTGTTGGTTCCTGATTATCTAGGTTGGAAAGGCTGGGCGGTTGCCTCTGTCTCTCTCTCTCACTTTGTATGATTGTGAATGTCTCATTCCTGGGGCCTTCTCTTCTTTCTGACCCATTTTATTTAGGGTGGGTCTTCTGTACCCGATCAGTCTCTGTTTCCTCTTTCCACATACCCCATCTTACGGTGGGTTTTGCAAAGAAATATTATTACCAATGGCAACATTTATGCTGTTTCAGTTTTGTATTTATTACATAGTTTATATTCTTTGTTTGGAAAAAAGGTACGTGAAAAATATTTCTCACACAAACCATATAAGTTGGTTTTCTATTTATAAAATCCTCAAAGATCATTTTTTTCCTAGAGTCTTTTGATAAAAGGAATTTCCATCACTGATTTAGAGAATAAAAATGATTATCAGAAGGTTTTTGTCTTTATCTGTCACCAAAAGTCCATGTATAATTTTTGGTTTTTTGTTTGTTTTTTTTTTGAGTTGGAGTCTCACTCTGTCGCCCAGACTGGAGTGCAGTGGCCGGCGGCCACCGCAGCCTCGACCTGCTGGGCTCCGGCGATCCTTCCGCCTCAGCCTTCCAAGTTGCTGGAACTATAGGCGCGCGCTACCAC